CTCGCTTTTTCATTAAATTCTCCCTTTTCCCACCACAAGTTTCGATAATAGATGCAGTCTGACATTCTTTTTGGAACTGCATCAGTACTAGGTATATTTTCGTTTACTACGACTGGTTTCCTGTCCCTAAGAATATTTCCGAAAAGTTAGCGAAAATAAGGAGTAAAATTGCACAAATTTACTTATTCAATGGCTACAGAGCTTGCGCTTGTACTTGTTTTTGTTGAACTAAAACTACTAAAGCTACTAAAGCTACTGAAACTGGTATTTGCATTACGGATATAAAGTGACATTTTGATGTTTTTGGAAAGATGGTTTACGATTAACGATGTTTTTGGAAGAATAAAAGATTACATAAATTTTGCGTCACAATTATTATTCCCTCGTGACCCAATATGATGTAAATTGGCATGTTTTAATGATGACTCAAAAATTATTAAACGATACACAGATGATGTAAATGTGATCTATTATCCGTAAGGGGCGTGCCAGAAATTAGCTGATTTCTCTTTACTATGAGGCTTACCCTCCCCCACCCCCCTCTGATAATCAATTTGATTGGCTAGGAAAATTATATATAAAATATTAAAATGTGAAATTTTTATTATAATAATTGTGATATATTAATAATCTTGATATATTAATAATCTTGATATATTGTTAGGCAAATGTTAATGAATAATTGAATAGTTAGAAGATTAGTTACTGTAAATAATTAATAGTTAAATAAATAACAGTTAAATAAATAAAAATAAAACAAAATTTATAAATAAAAATAACCTTTAATCCATAAATTTTTTTATTTCTTTTGTTTCGAACGAATTGAGATGATCAATCAATAATATTTGTCACCTCTATGCATATTATAAATAATTATTATACAGTAGCCGGTGATGATTATCGTGGTGATACGTATATTGCAGATCTTGTAGATCTATTACAAAAAGGTGTGCCTTCGCGTTCTTACTCTCTTCGCGTTTTTATATTCTTAAAAAATTCAAATCAATATGTAAAGCTTTTTAAAAACACCAAACTTTAGCAAAGATTTTTTCTTTAAACAGCCTCACGACTTATATCAAGAATTTTTTAATGCATATGCATATTACAAACAAGTCACACTTTGTGACCCAAAACCAAACTGCCAAAAATTAATGGAAGAGTGTATAAATAATTGGAAAAAAAATAAATAACACGATGCTACCTTTATTAGAAATAAAATTTGTGAATATTATGAAACTATTCCTCCTACTGTTCGCTTATATCAAAGACTTTTCATATCTCATGATATTATCAATTCCGATCACACCAGTCACGCATCAACTACATCCACCACATCCACAACACAGCGATCAGAAGGATTTATTGATACTTCAGCCATACCAAAAAATGCTGTTGCACAACATAAAGCAACCGAGCAGATCAATTTAGCTACCAAAAATATATTTGAATATCAACAAATGATAGAAATTACCGCAGATAACTCACTAAAAAATATATTAACAACAAAAATCATTGAAAAGCAGAAAACTGCATTGGAACAAAGTACACGATTAAGAAGATTGAAACGCCATGCCGAAGTACAAGCAAAACTGACAACAAAAAAAAAAATTATTAGAAGAAGGAACTGTGGAAATATATGATACCCCGGAAAGACCATCCGCAGCTATGAAGGATCTGGATTTATGGGATAAAATTTATGATTGTATCGAGTTTGGATCCGCTCATGCTAAAAGAAGAAAAGAGGTTATTAAAGTTCGTACAGTGAAGCATTTACGAGAATCTCTCAAAGAAAAATATAATATATACTTATCTCGTCAATGCTTGTCAACTTATCTTCAGTCTCGTCATCAAAATACTTTTGTCACACGTCGTCATCATCATCCAACAAAAGTTGGCCTTGTTTCTGTAGCATGAACGGAGATGAAATCTCATATTGATGAACATTATTGTTTAACTTCTGTTAAAGTTGTGAAAGTATTTGCTAAAGTTTTCTCTGATATGGCGATTATTATCTCTCAAGACGATAAAGCAAAGGTCAGATTAGGCATTCCTGCAGTTGGTCGCACGTTCAAAACCATCCAAACCATTAATGAACCAGTTGTTATCGAAGATCACGATTTTCTGATTGGTTCAAAAATGAAATTGATACCTTTTGTTTATCTTGTAATTAATCCAGCTGATTCTAGTAACACCCTACAAACTGGTCAACTTTCCATATTCGTTAGACCAGAATATTTTATTGGAACATCATCAAAAACCCATATTGCTGATTTAGAAAGCATCACGATGAATGAAGAATTTTCGATTACCCTAAAAAAAGAAAATAAAGTTAGACCTATCTGGATTCTTCTTGTTGATGGTGGACCCGATGAAAATTCAAAACATATAAAAAATATTATTCAATATACTCATTTTTTTCGTGCCCTTGATCTGAATTATTTAACTGTTCGAACTCATGCTCCGGATCAAAGTGCATATAATCCAGTAGAACGTAGTATGGCTTCTTTATCCGCGAAGCTTACCGGAATTACTCTACCTGTGAATAAGTTTGGATCACATCTAAATAGTCAAGGGATTGTAGTAGATGAAGAATTAGCATGACAAAATTTTGAATATTCAGGAAAAAAATTATGTGATATATGGAAAAGGGATAATATATATGGAAAACCGGTGAATGTAGAATATATCGATCAAGAAAGACATCTCTTCAATGAATCTGAGCCATTAATATCGTGGGAATGGATTGAGAATCATACGCAGCTTTGTCACTATTCGTTAGATATAAAGAAATACAAAAATCGGGAATGTTGTAATGAATATAGGGCTCCAGATTATACTTGCACGCAAAATTATTTTGGGACTCCGAAATTACAATTTCGGGGAAAAAAGTCAAAATAGTTTTTCATAGAAGACGAAATTATTTTACTTAAAACCTGAAATTTTTTGACC